ATGTGGAGGCCCCGTAGGTGTGCGAGCGAAGCGTTTTCAGTGTCGAGGTAGAGGACTCTGTCAGGGCTTGAAAAAGTTGGCCTCCCCCCTGAGCCCTGTGGATGCAGGTCAGGAGCCTTGAGTAGAGGGTGCGTGTGGGGGGAGCAAGGCCAGTCTCACCAGCTTTTGTGCCGTCCCTGCAGGGTGGTGAAGGAGGAAATTTCTGATGACAACGCGCGCCTCCCCTGCTTCAACGGAAGGGTGGTGTCCTGGGTGAGCAGCCCGGCCCTCTCGCACCCCCAGGCGCTCTGAGCCCCCGCGTGTCCCCAGCCCATTCGCCGGAAGCCCTTTGCTGGCCCTTTGCTTCCCTGGCCGCTTGGAGAGCCGGCTGCGGCCCGCCGGCCTTCCTGTGGGGCCGGTACTGCTTGCTCCTGCTCTTCTCGTGCTCGTCCCAAGCCCAGTCCTCGCTCACACCCGGTCGGTCCCCTGGCCCTCCCCCCCACCTGGGGGGCTTCACTTCCCCGTTTCCGTCATTGCGTTCTTCCAGCTGGTGTCATCGGATAACCCCCAGCCCGAGATGGCTCCCGCAGCCCACGAGCCTCGGACCGAGCTGGCGCCACCTCCGCCACCGTTACCCCCTTTGCCGCCAGAGAGGACCAGTGGCATCGGGGACTCCAGGCCTCCATCCTTCCAGTGAGTCTTGGGGATCCGTGAGCCCAGGGGAGGGCGTCCAGGACGCGGAGGCCCGTTCCCACTGACACGGGCTGCGAACCGTCTCTGCCCGTCCAGCCCTAACGTGTCCAGCAGCCGGGAGAACCTGGAGCCCGAGACGGAGACCGAGTCAGTGGTGTCTCTGCGGCGGGACCGGCCTCGCAGGAGAGACAGCAGTGAGCGTGGCGGTGAGGGGGGTGGGCCCCGAGGAGGCCGGTCCTCCGGGAGCCTGGGCAGGGCTGCGGCGGGGGGAGTGGGGGGCGGCTTCCTGAGGTTCCTGTTCATGCTCAGCCGGCGGCCACAGGCCCGGTGGCCCCTCGAGGCTGGAGCGCCACCTGGCCGGGTACGAGAGCTCCTCGACGCTCATGACCAGCGAGCTGGAGAGCACCAGCCTGGGCGACTCAGACGACGACGACACCATGAGCAGGTAGGGCACCTGCCCTCCCGGTCCCTCCCCCGCCCGCCTGCCCGCCCTCCCCTGGCCCCGTGAGCACCGGCCTCCGCTCCCCGGCAGGTTCAGCAGCTCCACGGAGCAGAGCAGCGCGTCCCGCCTCCTGAAGCGCCACCGGAGGCGGCGGAAGCAGCGGCCGCCCCGCCTGGAGAGGGTGAGGGGGCTCTGGCGGGCCTCGGTGCTGGGGGTGCGAGGGCACAGGGAGCGAGCCCCCCAGGGCCCATCCCTGGGTCATCGGAGGCAGTGCAGCTCCGTCCCCATTTCCCCAACAGACGTCGTCCTTCAGCAGCGTCACCGACTCCACCATGTCCCTCAACATCATCACGGTCACGCTCAACATGGGTAACGGGGGGAGCATGGGAAGGGGGTCCGGGTCCGTGGGGGGCCTGGGGGCGCACGGTGGGCTGTCCCGGTCACCTGCGCCCCCTCCGCAGAGAAGTACAACTTCCTGGGCATCTCCATCGTGGGCCAGAGCAACGAGCGGGGCGATGGCGGCATCTACATTGGCTCCATCATGAAGGGGGGCGCCGTGGCGGCCGACGGGCGCATCGAGCCGGGCGACATGCTGCTGCAGGTGCGCGGGGCCCGGGCCTGGGGTGGGGCGGGGCGGGGGGAGCGGGGTCCAGGCGGCCTCTGACCCACTGGCCTGGCTTCCAGGTGAACGACGTGAACTTTGAGAACATGAGCAACGACGACGCGGTGCGGGTGCTGCGGGACATCGTGCACAAGCCGGGGTGAGCCGTGGGCAGCCTCTCGTCCGTGGGGGCGCGACGTCGCGCATCTCGAGAGCGCCAGGCGGAAACGGGTGACAGGAGTAACCGAGTAACCGTGGAGTGCGGGGCGGCAGTGCGAGCCCTGCCTGGATCATGACCTAGAAGGTGGCCGGCGCCTCCCACGTCCCCGTCCTCAGTCTCCCTGGAGGGCGTCGCTCTCCTGCCTGGCCGTCCCTGCTCCACTCGGTCCCCCCCCCGCCTCCTACGCGTGCGCGTGCGTTTCCTGACTTGTTCCTGGCGTCTCAGCACCTCTGGAGTGGCCCGCGTTGGTGGGTCCCTCTGGCCCCGCCACGTCTGTGGTCTCTTCCCTGTCCTGTCCCTCAGCCCGTTAGTTCCAGGCCTGCACCCCTGAGGCCTCGCCAGCCACCCCCCTGCCTGACCGCTTCTCCCCTCCCCACAGCCCTATCGTGCTGACCGTGGCCAAGTGCTGGGATCCCTCTCCCCAGGCCTACTTCACCCTTCCTCGAAGTGAGTGCCGCTGGGGGGGGTCTGCAGCTGGCAGCAGAGCAGGGGCGGGGGTTGGGTCTCCTGGTGACAGGAGGTGTTGGGGTGGGTGCGGGATGGGAGTCCGAGTCGGGGAGGGCCAGGGGAGCCCTGTCTCAGGGGCCTTCTCTGTCCCAGACGAGCCCATTCAGCCCATTGACCCCGCCGCCTGGGTGTCCCACTCCGCGGCGCTGACCGGCACCTTCCCAGCCTACCCGGGCTCCTCGTCCATGAGCACCATGACGTCGGGGTCCTCCCTGCCTGACGGTGAGCCCCCAGCTCTGCCACTCCCCGGAAGGCCTCTCCCCAGTGCTGGGGCCCTACCCCTGCCGCCTCGTTTCTCTGACAGGCTGTGAGGGGCGGGGTCTCTCCATCCACACGGACATGGCGTCTGTGACCAAGGCCATGGCAGCTCCCGAGTCGGGACTGGAAGTTCGGGACCGCATGTGGCTCAAGATCACCATCCCTAACGCCTTCCTGGGTAGGTCTGGGCCCTGGGCAGGCGGTGCCGGGAAGGTGGCCCAGGATTGGGAAGGCCCCAGCAGGGGTGAGGCAGGAGCTGGGGAGGAGAAGCTGAGTGCCGCTTCTGCCGTGCGTGTCCCCAGGCTCGGACGTGGTTGACTGGCTCTACCACCACGTGGAGGGCTTTCCTGAGCGGCGGGAGGCCCGCAAGTACGCCAGCGGGCTGCTCAAGGCCGGCCTCATTCGCCACACGGTGAACAAGATCACCTTCTCCGAGCAGTGCTACTATGTGTTCGGGGACCTCAGCGGCGGCTGTGAGAGCTGTGAGTGCCCCCCCCCCCCGGATTCCGGCCCCACCCCTTCGCCCAAGGGCCGGCACGTCCCCGCGGTCTTTGAGCAGTGTGTGTCCTGCTCCGGGCCCCTGCCTCGGCCGAGGTCTGCTCGTGGCCTGCTGCTCAAGCTGCGCACCAGGCATGGGGCCGTGCGTGCTGGAGGAGCGGAGGCTCCTCCTGAGTGTCAGGCTGAGTGTCGGGGACCCATGGGGCTTGGGGCCCCGGTGAGTTCTGCCCTGACGGCAGCAGGGCTGGGGCGGGCGTTTCCTGTTGGAGACCCGCGTCTCCACCCGTCCTGGAACGTCCAGTCCAGTTCCCTTCCTTCCACATCTTCGCGTCGTGGCCGCTCGAAGCAGTGACTCCCGGCCTCCCGTCTCGCTCTCCAGACCTGGTCAACCTGTCCCTGAACGATGACGGCTCCAGCGGGGCTTCGGACCAGGACACCTTGGCCCCTCTGCCCGGGGCGACGCCCTGGCCTCTGCTGCCCACCTTCTCCTACCAGTACCCGGCCCCGCACCCCTACAGCCCCCAGCCGCCACCCTACCACGAGCTCTCATCCTACACGTACGGCGGGGGCAGCGCCAGCAGCCAGCACAGCGAGGGTGAGTCACTGCCAGATGCCGGCGTGGCTGGTGTCCCCGGACGGCTGGGGGGCAAGCAGGGAGAAGGGGCAGCCCCGGGGCCGCTGGGCTAGGGCTCAGCTGGCCCCATCCCCTCCACCCCACAGGGAGCCGGAGCAGCGGGTCGACCCGGAGCGATGGGGGGGCAGGGCGTGCAGGGAGGCCCGAGGAGCGAGCCCCCGAGTCCAAGTCTGGCAGCGGCAGTGAGTCCGAGCCCTCCACCCGGGGGGCCACCAGCCTTCGGCGGGGCGGGGACCCTGGTGGGGCTGGTGATGGGGCCCCGCCCCCTTCCAGAGGCTCGTCAGGGGGTGCGCCCAATCTCCGAGCCCACCCCGGGCTCCATCCATACGGCCCGCCCCCTGGCATGGCCCTCCCCTACAACCCCATGATGGTGGTCATGGTGCCCCCAACCCCGCCCCCCGTGCCTCCGGCTGTGCAGCCCCCCGGGGCTCCTCCCGTCAGAGACCTGGGCTCTGTGCCCCCGGAGCTGACTGCCAGCCGCCAAAGCTTCCACATGGCCATGGGCAACCCCAGCGAGTTCTTTGTGGACGTTATGTAGAGCCTGTGCTGGGGCCTGTCCACTCCGTGCCCGGTGCTCCTGTCCCGTGACGAGGGTCTCGTCAGTCACGTGCCTGTCACTCCTCCGACCCGGCTCGGCCCCGCCGTGGGCTGCTGGGAGGCGGCCGCCCCTGTGACTCTCACCAGCAGTGCCTGGTTCCTCCCCTTTCTCTCCGGGGGTGCGCAAGGGACCTTTGGTTATTTTTAGCTTTACTGTTTTTGTAAGCTTTTTTTTTGGGGGGGGGGTTGTTGAAGTAGAGTTTTGTACGTTTTTTGGACTATTTTTTTTAGTAGACGTTTCTCTTTTTGTATGAAGAATCCCTGTCTCCCGGGCCCCTCCTAACCCCGAAATGTGACCTCCTCCTCTGTCCGTCCAGCTCTGTCCTGTGCAGGGTGGGGGGGTCAGCGGTACCCTCGGAGGAGGAAGGCCCGGGCACCCTAGACAGCCACGGAAGCTGGGGTGTTCGGTCTCGGGGGCCCGTGTAGCTGCTTTTGTTACTCTATTTATTTAGTCACCTGTATAAAACACCAAATAAAGCAATAGGGGCAAACTCCCCACGCCTCTGGCTCCTTTCTTTGGGAGGGAGGCAGGCAGCGAGGGAGAGACAAAACAGAGGCAGCAGCAGCGAGGCACGGCTTGTGAGAACCTTTACTCCGAGAGCGGCCGTGGCCCCGGGGCCAGGCCCGCCTTAAGGCAGGACGAGGAAAGTGGGCTTTGGCTTGAGGAGAAAGGCACGTTCAGGTTCAAGCAGAAGGCGGGGGGGAGCACTCAGAAGCCCAGGGGGTTGCTGGGGACCACGCCGCCGTGCTCCACCAAGGCCTTAGAGATGCTCTTGAAGTTCCGGAAGAGCTCCTGCTGCTGCGGGTCAGACTGCAAGGCCGTCATGTTGTCCCGGACCCGTGCCGCAGCCTGCGGGGAGCGCAGGAGACGGTCCAGGCCCGGCGCCCCTGGCCTGACCCCCCCCCCCCGGCAGCCCCGCCCCCTCACCTCAATGCACCAGGTGTCGCACAGCATCTTCTCGTGCTGGGCCGTGGGCTGGCCCTCGCTCAGGGATCTCGAGGCCCTGGTACAAAGCGGGAAGAGACCCCGAGTATGCGCTGGGGGCCCCGGGCCCGGGCCCCCTGCGGCTCAGGCCTACCCACCACCACCTCACCTGGACAGCACCACCACCATGGTGTAGAGGTCAATGGCACTGTCTGCCAGACGCTGCAGCACAAACTGTTCATCTGTCAGGTATGGTAGAAGGGGGGAGGGGGTGTTGGCCAGAGGGGAGGAGAGGGAGGGGTGGGTGTGGGGGGTGCAGAGTAGTTCTCACTCACTGACGATCCCCTTCTTGTGTTTTATCAACTTAGCCTCCACCACTGCAGCGAACTGCTCCAGGGCCTGCACTGCCTGCAGAGAGAGGAGAGGCCGGGCTTGGGGGGAGCCTGGCCGTAAGGCCCCCCCCGACCCCGCTGCCCCCGTCCGCCCCGCCCGGCTGCTCACCAGCTCCCCGCTGCGGCTCAGCTCCTGGTGGGTGAAGCCGCTGAGACTCAGGCTGCTGCCCAGCCCTGCCCGCCTGAGACAACAGGGAGAGCAACGGGTTCGTGGCCGGCCTGTGCCCCTGCCCCCCCCCCCCCAGCACCCCTGCCCCGGGCCCCTGGCCCCCCCGCCCAGCACCCCTGCCCACCCCAACCGAGAGGACCGCCCCACACTGCCCCAGCTCTGCGCTGACCTCCTCAGCTGCTTGCCCACCTCTCCTAAGAGAAGGCTGGCGTTCCCAAAAGGATTCTTTAGAGCATTGCCGAGTCCAGAGAGTTCCTTTCCTTTGTCCTGGGTGGGGAGAGGGCCCAGCGCTCAGGACACCTTCTTCTTCCCGCTGCACCCCCACCCCGTTCCCTCTTACCATACAGCCCTGCAGAGCCACAAACAGCCGGAGGATGTCGTTCGTCCCCTCGAAGATCCGGAAGATGCGAAGATCTCGGAGAACACGCTCCACCCCAGGCTCCTGCCAGTGGAAGGCAGAACACATGGCGCTGCCGGGGTGCGCCCACCCACCCTGCCGTCCCGGCCGGGGCCACCCTGGGCACAGAGCCAGCCTGTACCTTCATGAAGCCCATGCCGCCCATGATCTGGATGCACTCATCGGTCACCTTCCAGGCTGCCTCCTAGGGACAGAGAACCACATAAGATGGGTCTTGGAGCCAAGCTCCCACGCTGGGCACTCCCGCCCTGGAGCCTAGGGCCTCACCGAGCCGAAGATCTTGCTGATGGCGGCCTCTATCTGGAAGTCCGTGGAGCCCTGGTCCATGTTGGCGCTCACCATGTACGCCATGGACTGAGGTCGCAGGGTTGGGACGCGGGAAGTAAAAGCAGCGCATCAGACTTGCCCTGACACGTCTGCCCGAGCTGCTCTGGTCTCTGCCTTGGCCGCCAGCCCCGCCTCTCAGGCACGGGGAAGCACTGGGTCCCCTGAGTGAGTTCACTGGGGGCTTCTGGGCACCTGACTTCTTCAAAGGGGGTGAAGAGGTAAAGGTAGGGCTGCAAGTGGAATAACCTTGAGCTACCTCGGGAACAGCATGGCTCCCCACTTCAGCTCCGAGCTGACCGCGCCTCCCCGCATCCCCTAGGGCATTGGTGTGAAGCTGGAGACCCACTGCCCCAGGTGCTGCTGGGGGTCTTGGTCCCACCGACGACGGGGGAGTGGCCCCGGGGCTGCGGGAGGGGTGTGGGAGGGCCCTCACCTCAGTCACATAGTGCAGCACAGCCATCCGGGCCAGCTTCTCCTGGATCACCCCGAAGTTGTGAATTTTATCCCCAAACTGGGTACGATTAGCAGCATGATCCACCTGGAGGAAGGCACACGGGTCCCACTGTGGTTAAGCGAGTGCCCCCCGCCCCCCTACACGGGCTGGGCGGGGCAGAAGCCGAAGCTGCCAGCATGGGAGGGGCTTCTGGGGGACAGAGTGCTTGCAAGGGGACAAGGTCACGCGGGAAGGGGACGCTGTGACTTCCCTGCGGGTGCGGTACTCACGGCCTTGGCAATGATGCCCTTCATGGTGCCTGCGAGGGCCGCAGCCATGCCGAACCTTCCATTGTTGAGAATGTGCATGGCGACCTTGAAGCCGCCGCCCACCTCGCCCAGCACATTCTCGGCCGGCACCCGTACTCCATCGAAGTACACCTCGGCCGTGTTCGAGGCCTTGATGCCCATCTTCTTCTCAGGAGGCCCGCTGTGATGGGGCAGGGTGGAGAGAGAGGCGTGCTCAATGGTTGGGGGGGGGGGGGGGGGGGAGGGGGAGCATCTTCTACGAGCCAAGGAGGAATTACATGGGCCAGGCCACAGTCCCTGCCTGTCCAGAGGGGAAGGACGCCTGGCCGTCTAGCCCACCAGATGCTGGGCTCGCTGGCTGTGGGAGCCGAAGCTTTGTTAGTTCTGTGCAGAGTGGTCCCAGAGAGAACACGCCATCTACCTTCTCTAGACTTTGCACACGTCCCTGGGGTGACCCGTAACACTGTCTGCTCAGGACCTCAGTGCTGCCCCCAAGCCTGGCTTGACCATACTCTTCCTCCCCAAACCCACTCACTGGGTAACCCCTCCGAAGCTCCTCTCCACCACAAAAGCTGTGATCTTCTGTTTCACGGCCCCTGTGGCCGCATCCGTGACCGGTGTCTTGGCAAAGACCGTGAAGATATCTGCCAGGCCCCCGTTGCTGTGGGGAAATGAGGGGCAGTCAGGGTGTGGCAGACGGAGCAGTGGAGGCTGGGGACTGGGTAGGGGTGGAAAAGACGAAAAAAAAACCGGGAAGATTGCCTGATCCAAATCTTGCTTCCGTTGAGGGTGTAATACTTCCCGCAGGGGCTGGGCACGGCCGAGCTTCGGATGGAGGCTGCATCCGAGCCACTGGAGGGCTCGGTTAGGCAGAAGGCAGCTATGGTCTCCCCTGGAGAGACAGAGGTTTTAAACTGGGTCCTGATGGGCACCAGAGGCCCCTTGCTGCCCCCCGCCCTAACACACAGGCAACTCCCCCTTATCATCTCCGGCAATGTTCGCCTTCACGTTTCCCACCCAGCCCACGGATAGCGTCCCAGAATCTCCCACAGCCGCCCCACGTGGCTGTGTGGTGGTGACTTTAGTACCACTGGCCCGGGGCGCCCCCAGTCCCTCGCTCTCTCAGGGCTGCCTCACCAGATGCCAGTTTGGGGAGGTATTTTTCTTTCTGAGCCTTTGTGCCAAACAGCAGGATGCCTTTGAATCCGATGCTCTGATGGGCCCCCAGGGTGATGCCCACGCCAAGGTCATGAGTGCCCACGAGCTCCACCAAGCGGGCGTACTGCGGGGAGAGGCGGGCGTCAGGGCTGTCAGCGGCTGCTCCGGGCCTTAGCAGCAAAGCGTGGGCCGCCCCGCGCCGTGTTGGGAGACAAAACGGGGCTGTGGCGGAGAGGGCCGCTGGTGTCCGCCCCAGCTCCTGGGAGGGGGGCTTCCGACCCTACGGCCGCTCCCGGCCATTAGGACCTGTGAGCCTGGGCAAAGCCCGCAGCCCGAAGGGACTGCATCCGGTCTGGTGTTCTGTCTGAGACCAGTTGTGCTGACTGGCGGGTCCACGCGGGCAGGTGCTTGGTGGACCTGGGCCTTGGGAAAGGAGCTTAATCACGGCACAGCTGGGGTAGACGGGGCTGCTGGCACTGACCGAGGGGGGTCCCTCACCTGGGTGTTACAGAGGCCCACGCCGCCCAGTTCGCTGGGCACCTGCAGACCGAAGGCCCCCAGCTCCTTGAGACCCTGCATCGTGGTCTCCTCCACCTTCTCCATCATGTCGTTCTTGGCGGGGTCGTTGACCTCCTGGGAGTAGGAGGGCACAGCATGCATCCAGGCTCCTTTTTTCTTTCTCTCTTTCCAAAATGTTCTTAAGTGTATTTCTTTTGAAGAGGGCAAGCAAGCCGGGGAGGGGGAGAGACAGGAAAGGAGAATGCCAAGCAGGGTCTGCGCTGTCAGCTCAGAGACCGAGGCGGGGCCAGAACCGAAACAAAGAGCTGGACGCCCAAGTGACTGAGTCACCAGGCGCCTCCAAGCTCCTCTTAAACTGCAGAGCACCTCTCCCACCTCATCAGGGACTGAGCCATCCATGCCCCCCACCGGCCCAGTCATTCCTCACCTCAAAGAAACGGGTCACAGGCCCCAGCAGCTCTTTAAGAAACTGAGTCTGCTCCTCGTTGAGCACTGCGGGGGCGGACAGGGACAGACTAGTCAGGCCACCGTAAACGGTCAAGGGAAGTGGCCTTGCCCCAACCCCAGCTGTGACTACTGCTTACCAGACGGGTAAGGGAACACCTGGCTGGTGGTGAGCTGGCCCCGGAACATCCCCGCAGCAAAGGACTTCGATTCCTGCGCAGGGAGATGGGGGTTTCCGGGAGGCGTCCGCGGTGGGTGAGCCCCTGGCTTAGCTCCTCCCGGGCTGGGGGCCACCTACCGCCTTGGCCTGCTTCTCCCGGGTCGAAGCCTCAGGGGGAAAGGAACCTGGCTTCTCCAGAACCGCCTGGGGAGACGTTTAGTTAGCGAGGCCGGGGAAGGGGCTTCCGAGGTGCCAAGGAGAGTCCCGGGGGACAGCTGAGTGCTGGCGTCTGACGGGTGCGGAGACCTTTCCCCCAGTTTCATCACCAGGGCACCCTGGCCTGACCTTTCCCCTACTTTCGGTGGCAGGTGACGGGGACGGAGAGGGAGACCCCTGCCGGCGACGGGGAAAGGGACGCCGGGGCGGACCCTTACTCCCACACACCGCGCCCCAGGCCGCTGTCACTCACCTGAGCCGCCCCACCGGCATAGGGTCGCCAGGCCAGGCCGAGCGGGGGCTGCCCCCGGAGCGCACAGGGCCGGGAGCTGTGGGGAGAGGGGTTCAGTCCCGGCCCGGTCCCCGGCTCCGAGGCCACCCCCGCCCCAGCCCTTCTTTTAAACACGCACCTTCCGACCCCCAGCCTCTGCAGCTGCCGCCCCACGATCGGGGCTATCCGTGCCGCCTGCATCTTTGAACCGCTCCGGCCGCCACCGCCTCGAGCGCTGACTCAGTGCCGCTGTCCCGTCTGCCCGAGTCTGGGCACCTCCTCCCTTTTCTTGACTTGCTCCACAATGCACCGCGAAGCGGGCGGGCGGGGCTTCCGGCCCCGGGGCATGCCGGGCGCTGTAGTTCCGGCGCGCCCTCCGGTCTCTGCATTCTGGTTGACCTAAGGCGATCCCCGAACGTCCCCGCCTCCCCAAAACGCCTTCCTCCCGCCTGTCCCACCTAGAGTGTGGAGCCTCGGGAGGGGTGATGGGACAGGCCGGGGCGGAACAGGGAGAAGCTTAGGCGACCGCAGCCAGAGGGGATGGAGGGTAGACGGAAAGGAGGGCTTCCCAGGTGGAGTTGGAAGGGAGACGTGGGAAGGAAGAAGTTTAAGATAGATGCCAGAGGCCGAGGCACGGAAAGACGACCCCTCGGGGCCCCTTGTGAAATCCGTCTCCACCAACACTAAAGGGAGGGACGTGGCGGGGTGGGGGGCTCCAGCTGCACGGTGAGTGTCCCAAGCACATTGTCCTGAGACCTAGGAGGTGTCACTAACTTTGGAAGCACCTGAATTTTCACCGTAGGACGGTCCCCTCCCCTTGCCAATTCGCTGCCTCCCCTCGAGGGCCCGAGACCTTCCTGAGGGGCTGTCTCTGTCTGCCCTTGTTCCTGACACCGCGTGCCCAGGCTAGACGGCTGGCATCCTGGATGTTTCCCAGCCTGGGATGGACTGAAGGGGTGCAATGCCCCCCGCCCCCCGCCCCCAGGCCCACGAGTCCTAGGTAATTCATACCCCCTGTCTGCCAGCCTCACTGGGAACACACCCTGGAGGAAAGATCTGGCCTCAGCCTCGTCTCTGGGGCGGCTGGAGCCTCCTGGGGCTGGTCCCCTTCCCCAGTCCCTTTGGGAAGTGTAGCAAACCGGTCCGGGGCTCCGCGGCTCTGGGGAGAGAGGCCGGGGTGTGAGGCTCTGGGAGGAGGTAAGAGTGTCTCCTTGGGCTACCAGCTGGAACTGGGTGGGGAGAAGGCAGCTCAGCTCCAACCCTGCGGATTAGGGAGATTAAAGTGACAGAAGAGAGAGATGTCCGAGGGACCCAGAGGTGACAAACGAAAGGCGTGGGGGCTGAGCTGGGGGAGGGGGAGGACTGGGATTTGGGGACCCTTCTCCTGACCCTTCCCATAGAATCTGGGGTGAAAAGGCACAGGCTGGGGAAGATGAGTGAGTGTCCTGGCCCTTTCTTCCCTGTCCCAACCCTCTGTCCCTTGCGTTTCACCAGCTCCCCGGTCAGCCCTCTGGCTCCTGGCCCCCCCACTATTGCGGTGGGCACCCCCTCTCCTCACCGTGCTGCACAGTGACCTCTTCCAGGCCTTGCTGGGTGAGTAGCCCCAATCTTCCGAGGGGGCAGTGTTTGGAAAGGGCCGGCCTGAGCCTGCGAGGGCAGTGCCCAAACTTGGGGGCTGGTTGGGAGCGTGGAGGTCCCCTTGGTCCAAGCAGGGGGTCCGTCGCCCTGACTGTCCTCCGTCAAAGTCCAGCAGCCCTGGCTGGAGGACCTCCTCCCTTACCAGACAGAAGGAGGCGAAATGGTGGCAGGGGTGGCCCGGGAGGGAGGCCGGGGTGGGGGAGGGTAACTCAGCCCTGTTCTGGTGACAGACATCCTGGACTATTATGAGGCCTCTATCTCCGAGAGCCAGGTAAGGGGGTGAGGTGGGGCTTCTCTCTCAGGGAGCGCGCAGGGCTGGACAGGGAGCCAAGGCAGCCAGCATTGAAGGCTTGGGGGCCCTGGGGACAAAATCCCAAGTCAGGGGCGCAGAGAATGTTCTCCCTCCCGGCCTGTATCCCTTCTTCTTGCTCCCCCCTTATCTCTGCCCCAGTTTCAGGCACTAAGGAGCCCAGGACAAAATTACTTTTCAGACTTCCTTCTGTGCACCCTGAGGGAGAAGTAGCCCCCCCCCCACCCCCACCCCCAAGGATTCCCTCCTGCCAGCCCCTCCCTCACACCCTGCCCCCTGCCAGGGCCTGGCTCCAGTATTTAAACCGGCACGGGAGCTCCCTCCTCTGATTGACACGAGCCACCCTCATCATCTCTGCTGCGGGCGCTGGTGCCCGGCCAGGCCTCCATCTTTGCCTCAGGGCCTCTCTGCATCTGCTCTTATCTCCTTTCCCATTATCCGGGCTCCTGCCAGCGCCGAAGCAGTTAACTCTGCCAAGGCACCCCCCCATTCTCGCTCCTCGCTCCCTCCCTCCCTCCCCCTGCTTCCTCTCTCCTCCTCTCTCCCCTTCCCTCCTCGGCTCCACGGCTCCCTCGGCCGCTGCCGCCTCCGACCCCCCCACCCCACTCCCCCGCCACGGCCCCTAGCCCCTGGCCGTTAGGCAAGACCCCCCCCTCCCCCGGGGCTCCCCGAAATCCAGCTCCCCTCCCCCACCCCAGCTCATGCCCCAGCCCCCGAACTCCGGGGCTGCCAGCCCCCGGTGCCCCCGCCCCTCCTGAGAATCGGGGTGTGCTCCCCAAGCCCCCTCCCCTCCACTGGGGACCCCCTTTTAGGGCCCCCTTCCCCTCCCTCCCACGTTCCCTCCCCTTCCCTTCTCCAACCCCCTCTTTCCCCTCTCACCCCTCCCCCCATCCTGGCCCCCCCTGCAAAAGTGGGGTGCGGAGGGGGGAGGGGTGAGAACCCACGGAGGGGAGGAACGAAACTCCGATGAAGTCAGAGCCCCTCACCCGCCGCCGCGGCCAGCCCCCCCAACATGGACTGTCTCTGTATAGTGACAACCAAGGTAAGCATGGGGGGGCGGGGGGGGAGTTTGTGGGGAGGGGTAGGCAGGCCTAACCTGGGGCCGGGGGCCCAGGAGCCACCGCACCAGAAGATGTATTTGGGGGTCATGATTTAGTTTGGGGGTTCACATCTGAGATAATGCTGGGTTTGGCCACAGGTGCCCCCTGGAGTGATCCCTTCGTACCTGTAGAGAGACGGAAAATTGGGGCCGTCTTGTGGCTTGGGGGGGCCAGGGGGTTCGGGGGTTCACCAACGATGCTTGAGGGAGACTTATTTAAGGAGAAGCCCGGCTCACATGGAAGTGCTGCTCTGGTACATGAGAAGGTGGACTACGTGGGGGGGGGGGGATCCTCCTCCCTCCTGGGGGACAACCTGGCTTGTAGATGTCTTGTGCGGTGTCAGGGGGCACTTGGCATGGGGGTAGAAGGTTATTGGTTGTGAGTGCCTGAGCGGTCTGGGGGTGTCAGCTGGCGGAGAAGGGGTGGGCCTTCAAGCTACAGAGCAAGCATCTTGTGGTGGATGCATTCGGGGGTGCTCTCGATTCGGGGGGACTGTCCATTTGCGGTTGTATCCTATGGACTGGGGAAAGCGGGGAGCTGTCAGAGGGCCAGGGCCTGCCCTAGCATCACCTGAGGGAATGGACCGGGTGAGGTGAGGGTTTGGGGTGCTCCCATGGGAGGGAGGAGAGGTTGCCAGACCCTGAGGGTGAGAGCTTTTGGGGCTACAGGGGGCCTGAGGAGGGGGGCCAGGTGGGTGGTGCAGAATTTGGGGGTGGCCCAGGCAGGTGCCCAATATCACTGTGTCCTCCCACACCGTACCCTCCCCATGTTGGGAAAGAGGGAGGGGAGCAGATGGAGGGGAATGTGCCTCTTACCCCTGACACTTGGGATCAAGGTGGGGGAAGACACCTGGATTGCAGGCTCCCTGGGTGAAAAGGAGTTGGAGCAGGGCCGGGGTCAGAAGAGGCTGTCCCTGTGGTCCGAGCCTGGGAAGGGCAGATCTTGGATGGGGAGCACAGGCAGGGCCCCTGGTGGGCTTCAGAATCCCTAGGTCTTGGCCGTGAGGGTCTGGGACTGGCAAGCTGGGTGCCTGGTGTGTGGAGGGAGGCCTGGGCGGGTGGCAGGCAGCTGGGGGCTGGGGGGTGGGACAGGAAGTGGGGGCCGGGGAGGCGGGGTCCGGGTGAGTCACAGGCTGGGGAGGGGGTTATATTTAGTGGGAACTGCAGCTTCTCAGGGGAGGGAGCTGAGGACACACATGTTCCCTGCCACAAGCTCACACATGTGTGTACACATGCATCGTGCACGTGTGAGCATGGATGGAAGAGACTGGAGGCTGAGGACCTTTAGGTCCGGAGCCCCCACCCCCTCTCCGGAGCTACTTGCTTGTCCCCCTCCCCCCCAGTCTGTGGGCTCCAGGCTTTCTCCCATGCTGCTGCTTCCCCCATTCCCTGTGGTTTCGGCGGTGGAATTTTGTGCCTCACCTTTCTCTGGCCTGGTCTCCTTTAATGTCTGTCTGGTCCTTAGCTTCTCCCGTCTCCTGCCTTGGGCCTTAGGTTCCCTGGCTGGGGCCCCCCGGGTACAGGTGTACCCAGAAAGCCAGTTGGAACGTGTGGGCCCTGCTTCCAACATGGGAACACACATATGCGAGTGAGGGTGAGGGGCTTGCCGGCACCGACAGCGATTCTGGGAGGGGGAGTTTATTCATCTCCCTTCCAGACTCCTACTTCATCGATGGAGCCCAGAGGGAGAGCGTCCCCGAAGGAAGGGGCCTGGCGCAGAGAGGATCAATCAAGCCTTTGGGGGTTTACAAGGCGTGGAGGAGACCCAGGCTTGCCACATTCCTCGGCCCGCAAAACTTGTCAGTCTCGGGAGGACGGGGACTCCAACTCCCATAAGGCCTTGGGGCACAGGAGCCCTCAATGTTAGACGGTTGCTGTCCGTGGGGCTGTCGGGAGTTGTGGTTCAACTGTATCCAGGGCAGCGGAGGGGAGCCCCGGGGAGCCAGCAGGGGGGCACAAGGCCCTTGCTTTCCCCCACCCCCATCGTCCCCCGCTCCCCACACGCTGGGTGGGGTAGGGGGTGCTCAGGATTTGCGGTCGTTGAGCTTCCCAGCTCCCTGTGAGAGCCCTCCATCTTCCATTGCCTATATTTAGACTCCTGCCGCAGTAACCGGAGGAACACGGACTGAAAGCCTACCATGCGCCAGGCGCCGTGCTTTGTGCTCACTGCGCCTTCAGAGCTAACATTCAGGCTTACTCCGTGACGGGGTCTCTGCCGGCGTCTGCCTCCGAGGATCTCTTTCTC